TGAGGTTCTCTTTTCCTTTCATCCTATGGCAAATTATGTTGTTTGACCACATTCTACGCTCTTTTCTTCCTCCGGCCTTCCCATGTAGCTGTTTTTTCTATTTCTTTTGTATTTGGGAATGTGTTTTTTGTTGGGTGGGTGGGGTTCAGAGTAGGAGTTTAACCCTCGTTGCTCCGTCACCTAAAATTTTAAAATAGAGCTAAAAAGAAATGCACCCTACTATTTGTTTTATATTGACACTTGATGATGATTTTGTTAGGTTACATATGCTATAGGAAAGAATTTTTAGATTGGCTATTGGTTTAAGTGTTAATTCTACAACTTGTTAGTTTCATTCTCTTATTTTTCTCCTAGAATCATAATTTATTACTCTGGGGTTGGAGTCAAGCTTTTCTTTGTTTTTTTTTCTTTTAGGGAGGGTTTTTTTGTTATTGGGGTTTTTTTTTATTTATTATTTATTTATTTATTTATTTTTTATTTTTTTTGGGGGTGGGGGGGGGTGGGGGGGGGGCTCAAGATACAACTACATACTACATCACTCAAAAAAGATCAAATATGACAATGTATAATATAGTTTCAATTATGTAATTATTATGTGAAAGAAGAACCTAGGATAAAGGTTTAAAAAATATATTTTCATGATACTTGAATCATTTTTACATATCATCCATCATGAATCAACATTCTCCAATCTTCTAAAGGTTCGTTTTAAAAATGAACTAATTGGAGTTGATTTTTACATAATCATAACTACAAATTCTAATCTTTTTGAAGACATGATAGCTCAACAATATGCTATAGATTATGCAATTTCATATATCTATTTTTATATATCTATTTATAATATGAACTTAAACAAATTGGAAGAACTCTATTTCATAATACCACCACAAAATGCAAAACCACATATAAGTATGAATCTCAATTCACAATTGTATTATTATATGCCAAAAAAAGGAAAAAAAGGAAAAAGAAAAAAAGAAAAAAAATATGAAAAAGAAATTCTTTTCAGATTGAACAACTCTGAATAGTATGGAATTAAAATAACTTACAAATGATGATCTACAGATCATGTAGATGATGATAATTCTAACATTTTTGACCAAAATGCAAACCCACAGCACCCGAAGAATGAACTCACAACAACTATTCTTATTTTTATCCGAAACCTAGAAAATATAGCTTGAGAAAAGGAAGAAGAAGGATTTTTTTTAATTGGGGATCGGTAATATCATATCTACTAATTTTTTGGTTGTGCCTCTTAGTCTTTTTCATCAATAGGCTCATAACTTAATCACTCGACCATTGTCATCCACAGCACACAACTCTTTTATACAGGACCTAACTCATCCTTCAAGGATTAGTGAGCTCTCAAGTTCCGTCATAGTCTGTCAATTTACTTATTTTGCCCTCAAACTATGTTTGTGATTTCATTGTGTTCATTTTGTGAGTCTACATTCAAATAGTTTATAGTCAAATATTTTACAGATCCATGACATAATAGTGTTCTTTTGTATTTCTTCAAAGGTCTTTATCACTTTTTGTCCTTTATTCTCAAACTAAACATCATTTTTTAATTAATTTTCCCCAAAATGTTTTACCATTGAACCCCTTTTATGAATTTAAAAAAAATCAGTTTTTAAATTACAAAAAGTACAAGAAATGTAAAAAAACTATCTCGTCATTAAATTGTTAAATATTTGAGTGTAGGCTCACAAAATGATCATATTGTGCAGATATACATAGGTTAAGTGGGAAAATAGGCATGCTGATAATTTACGGGGCAACTTGAGAGTTGACCAATACTTTAAAGGGGACATGATCATTTTGCCCTTTCTTTATATAATACACTAGCTACACTAGCCTTTAACTTAAGTATATTGCCTGAACAATTACTTTTAGTTAAATCAATATTAGCTTATTAAGTCTTTCATAGTTTGTATAAGTTCTTCAAATCATTGAAATTTATATGAAATAAGTCATTTTGAAATTATTCCTTCCAATTAAGAGTAGCCGTAGCAATTAGAGGGATTAGTTTGAAACTACTTAAGAATTTGGGAACCGAGTAGCAATTTCAATGAGTAGAGGGTATAATTTCAAAAATTTAAAGATTCTACACGCAGCAACACGCACACATCAACACAAACCATCACGTACCCTCTCACGCTCACAGGCCGCATATTTTTTGGTGGTGGCCGATCAGCGCCGACGCGGGGAGGCCAGGGGCGGATCTATTCAAATCTAGTAGGGGCTGCAGTTCACCTAAAATTTATGAAGAATAGCATGTATACCGTCCGGAGGAGACACCACGAGAGGGAGCCAACGCCACCGGTGGGTGTTAGTGTGTGGGGGGGGAGAGGATAGGGAGATGAGAGGCAGGGACGTAGAGTATAGGATTAGGAAGTGGAGGAGGGAGGGGTAGAGGGAAGGAGGGAGAGAGGTGTGGGGATAAAGGGTTGCGCAGACGTTAGGAGAGGGAGAGTTAATGAGGAACCGAAGAGGAATGAGGGAGGAGATATAGGATAGAGGGAGAGAAGAGGGGACGGATAGGGGGGAGGAGTAGGCGGGAGGGTGGGTAGGAGGAGAGAGGGGGAAGGAGGGGAGAGAGAAAAGTAGAAGATGGGAGCAGGAGGAGGTTTTGGGTAGTTTGGAGAGGAGGGTATGGGGAGGACGGAGGGTAGAGGAGGATAGGAGAGGGAGAGAAGGTGGTAGATAGTGAGGTAGGGGGAGGAGGTAGAAGGAGGATCAGGAGGGCAGGATGTTTTAATTAGGGAGTGACAGAATAGCAATAGAGTAGGGGAGGATAGAGAGGTGAGAAATGGGGGCCAAGAGAGAGAGCAGCACCAACCGTAGAGAAGGGAGGGGAGTTGAGAGAGAAGAGAGGGAGAGTATGGAAGGGAGGAAGAGGAGTAGTAGAGGGAGGGGTAGGGGAGGCAAGTTTCGAGGATGTTGGTAGAGGGTGAGATTTAGAGGGAAAACGAGGTAGGGGGAGAGTGAGTAGAAGAGGGTAGTTAGGGAAGGAGGGAGGGGGATAGAAGGTAGTAAGAGGAGGGAGTATTTGAGATTGGTTTGGGCAAGTTTTTGTGGTCAGAGGAATGATTAAGGGAAAGTTTGTTAGGTGATATGTAGATGAGAGTATGAGAAAGGTCTTTTATGAAAAAAGACTAGAATTGAGCCGGGTGTAGATCGAGTGCATGAGTGTATGCAAATATTACATTCGCCCCCATAAGTTTCAAAAAGTGCGCCCTAGGGCACAAGCTAATTAAAGAAATTAGTAACAATTTAAAAATTAGCCCGTTGAAAAGTGAAGATCCATTCACATTTTCCACAATAAAGTGTATTAAGTATATTCTCATTAGGTATTATAGTTTTATAATATTATATATATATATTTACTTTTAGATAAATAAACACTTGTCTTTTGCCCCCCAAGGAAAATTTTCTGGATCCGCCATTGGGCATGGCCACCCTGGCCCACTGTCTCCGCCATTGCTTCACTCTAATTTACTCTCCTCCTGTTTGCACTGCTAAAAGTTGAATGAGTACTTTCTGATTGAAAATTGTAAGTTTAAACTGGAAGTTCTCTAAGTATTTCAATGCTTTTCATAGGAATCTCGCATTCAAAGCTGTTTTTTTCTTCAGAGTAGTTTTTCAGGCTTCTTATTTTTTGGGCATACATTTGCTAACTGTAAGCAATTGAAGACGTAAATCAGACTGTAATTTATATGAACATTGTTCAGGTAAATTAGAGCTCATGTTTGGACTCTTAACATAGAAATATAATTTGCTTTCCCCCGCTTACCCTTTTGTGGTTTTCCCTTCTCAGTTTACAGCCAATTGTAAGTTTAAATTTTAAGAACCTAAAATATTTAAATGCTTCTGGAAGATTCCCAACATTGGAGGCTATTTCCTAACTAGTTCTCAAGCTTCTTTTCGAAAGCATACGTTTGCATTTGTGTAAAGCAATCGAAGATGCAGATAAGGCGGAGCTTATGTAAACAATTTTTGCATAAACTAGAACTCTTGTTTGGATGGAAATTATGTTGAACATAAAGTGACAAAAAAGTTAAGCAAAATGATTGAGACTTTCTAATATATCTTGTAATTTGCTGTAATATATATTTCTGAGATAAACTTATCATTTTTTGCCCCATAAATGGAATTCTTTTCAATATATGGTTCCCTGATCATTAAGGAATCTTAGGTTTCATGTTCCTATCTCTGAAACTTTATGAGAAACCTTCATCTCTGCATACAGGGCCCATCTTCCATTACTGCAGAAGTTTCTTCCCCTTCAGAATTTAAAGACATCAATGATAGTGCAATAACTGATTTCGGGAACATGGAGAAATTGTTTGTCTGTGGGGTTCTTGATGAACTTAGAATCTGTTTTAGTTGTAGTTATCAGGTAAAATGTGAAACTTGTAGATAGTGACCTGCTTTTGTTTTCTTGGATCCTAAGAGACACATTATTTTCTTATTATAGAGCAACCAAAGTTTCAAGAAGGTGCTTCTTTGTGATGAGAAACGTTTATTTGAGTTTCGTGCAGCAGGTGGTCAGGTATTTATATTTGTGATTTACATTTGTCCTATTTTGTAATTTTTGCCTCTGCTTGTCCATGATTGATTCATATTAGAACAGGTTGAGCTTTCAATTAAGGCGAACAACCTTCTGATTGGAACTGTACTGAAATCGCTAGAAATTGAAGATCAATTTTGCTGTGTTCGAACTGCTCGGCCCCGTTATCTTGCGAGATCATTTATAAATAACACTGAACAATCCACAGTCAGCGATTCGTCATCCATTTCTGTCCTTGATTGGCAGAAAATTAGCAATAATCAACTAAACTCAACTGATGATGAGGAAAAGTTCTTTGAAGCATCAGATGATTTGGATGACCCAGGTGATCGTTCTGTAAGTCGACTTGGAAGCATGTCAGAATACTCCACTGCTCAACCTTCCTTTTCCGCAATGAGATCTTCTATGGAACCACCAACTTTTAGCCGCATTCCTGGTTTAATTCCTGATTCTGAACTTCAAAATGAAAGCTTAAAATTGGAGACAGCTGATACTTTGGACAGTTTTGTTAAAGCTCAAATAGTAATCTACAATGCTGATTCTCCTCATTATGATAACCTGGATAATCGGGTCAGTACTATCTCATAGTTTTCATGTCACCAAGTTACTATATGAACTTCGTGATTCAAGGCAACTTCATTTATTAATTTGAATGGTTCTTTCAGGTTGTGATAACTCTTGCTACATTGTCCTTTTTTTGCCATCGGCCTACTATTCTTGCAATTTTAGAATTCATAAATGACATTAACGTCACGGAGGAGAAATGGAACTCTGATACTTCTATTGATAAACCTTCTGCTGCCGTGATCGAGGCATCAATTAGTGGTTCAGCATGTGAGCCAGACTCATCTGCCCCGGAGCCAGTTGTTGAAGGATTGCTTGGTAAAGGAAAAACCAGAGTCATTTTTCACCTTACATTGAATATGGCGAGGGCACAAATTTTCTTGATGGATGAAGAAGGGATTTCTCTTGCTACTTTATCACAAAATAATTTGCTGACTGATATTAAGGTTTGCTTGCCAGCATATATACTTCTCTTTCTCAGCTTATTCCTTCTTGACTAATCTACCATTCGATGTCCTGTAAGGTCTTTCCATCCTCATTTAGTATCAAAGCTGCCCTTGGGAATCTGAAAATAAGTGATGATAGGCTTCCCAGCACTCATTCATACTTTTGGGTCTGTGATATGCGAAATCCTGGCGGGAGTTCATTTGTTGAGGTACGATTTGCATCTAATATGCATACATTTGTATCATATTATTGATTTGTATAATATAAATAAAATAATTATTCATCTATACATTGTGATCGATTTCATGTTGCTCTTCTTATTTTTCATTGATGTGTTGTTCAAGAAGTTTGGGGTTTACTTGGAAGCATTGTTTTAAATATCCCCCACATGGCCCGATATATCCCCCGATATATCCTTTTACAGGGCTTGCCGCAACCGATATGGTCTTTAAATATCCTTTACCGCTTTTTGGCTATTTTGAGTGATAAATCCCCGATATAGCCGATATATTAGCCGATATGTGGACCAATATATCTTTTTATATAACTTGTTGCAAAATAATATACCATGTTTGGAATTTTTGGGCAAGATATCAAGATTTCCCCATTATATCAAATGACATTTTACCCTAAAAAAAGCAGATCGAATGTTGCAACGTTGCTTTGCACTTTTGTTTGTTTTAGAAGGTTGATTTGTGATCCTAAACATATAGTATTCATATTTTGTATGTTTAAATTTCATTACATATGTTGAGATTACATGTTAATGCATTATACTATGTATGCAAACATTCATTATGGCATTCCGGTATTTACCACATATCCTCGATATTTCCCCGATATCCGCAATCCGATATGAATTTTGGTCATCCGATATTTCCCCGACATCTGATATTTAAAACCTTGCTTGGAAGCATTCCGTTGGGATCGTTGTTTAAAGTTAGGTTTTGAAAATATTTTCTTCCTTTTCTGATTAACTATCTCTTGTAGTGCCTATGCTGGGATCTTTGTTTAAAGTTAGTGTTGTTAAATATTTTCTTTCTATTCTGATTAACTATCTCTTGTCGTGCCAATGTGTAGGGCTTATGTATAATTTTACTCTCTCTCTCTCTCTCTCTCTCTTGATCGTGATCATGATGTGTACAAAAATAGTGAAATATCTTTGTGGAATTCATGAATCACATTCGAGATGTTTTAAGTTGAAACTGTTTTTTGTGTAAAATATTAAAAATATGCGATATCTGTGGTCAAATAGAACTTTTAGAGCAGCCTTCTTTAAGCAGCCTTCTTTAAGCCGTAATAAATTCCTTCTGGTCCATCATACCATTAGGGATGTGTTTCCATTTGGTTTGGTTGTCTTACTTTGTGCCTCAAAGATGAGTATATCACCCCGAATGTCTTCTCTACTGTTTTTGCAAATAAAAGGTAGGTCGCTATTTACCCAGTAGTTGTTTTTCGGCACAACCTTGCTTGTATTTTATCTTCCTACGAACTCAAAGTGGTTATGTTGATAGCCCATTATAAAATCTTTGTCACCTATTTTGAGTTTGTTGACTTTGCTCTGTGCTTCATAACTGAACCTAGAATTTCTGGAAGATCCTGGATAATAAAGATGACATTTTGAGACACAAACTATAGCCATTTCTACTAAAAGATTTTCCCACTACATATGACACAGGACATGAACTTTGTATTTTTTATTTTACTCCAAAATCTCTTCACTCTGTTCTTTGATTGGCGTTTTTAATTTTAATTTCTGGGTTGTTTTTATTTTTTCGGGGGGGCGAGGGGGGGTTGGGGCCGGTGGCGTAGTATTGGTTGTGTTACTGGTTTGGAGTTGGTACATGAACTTTATTTGAGGTACATATCTTTCTGTTTAAAATACTTTGTATAAATTTTTAATAAAGTGTTTTAAGTTATGTTTCATAGCAAACTATTCTTTAAATCATTTATTTTTGAAGTCCGAAATTCATGGTAAAAAAGTTGTGTTATCAAGCTGTTTAAAAGGGGTTGGGGTGTCTGTACTTGTGTGTGCATCTCTCTGATTTATCCAGTATCACTCAGACTCACCTAACCCATCTTAATTTTATTACAGCTGTTAGTATAAAATTTTAACCCTTAACCATCACTGCAACTTCAGAGTTTTGTGGTGAAAGGGTCCTTTGATATGTTATTAGATCAACCCAGGTTCAAAGCCACCAGCCACAAATCTAAAGAAGATGTAGAAAAAAAGAGACCAATGTGCGAGTCTAGGTTTCTGCCCATGAAATGGCTCAACTTTAAGGGCATGTTAAGAGTACAGTATTATAACCGTCAACCTTTGCTACAACTTTGGAGGTTGGTGGAGTGGAAGGGTCTTTTGACACCATCTAAGTCGATTGTGTATTAGATTTAGAGTATGAAATTGTAACCCCAAACTGTAGTTGTATGGTTCACAGAATGGTCTTGTAAACACGATCCATGTCGAATGTACGGTGACTGGGAATGCTATCAATATGGATTGCAATAGAACACAACCCAGTTCACCATTCCAGTGAGCCGGCTTAGAATTTAAGAGTTAATTTTCTTTAAAAACTTTGCTTCTTCTACTGGTGGATCCTTATTTCGACAATCAAGTGAGTTTCTTTTCCTGTTTTGCGATTTTTCTTCAATTTCCCTCTTTTTGGCTCTATCTCTGCTCTCTTCTGACTCTGGTTTCTTTTGTTCTCAAGCTCTTGATCTCCCCTTTCTCCAAATTTTGAATTGGAATTGCTAGTTTGAATACTTTTGTCTTTTTCATTTCTATTTCTGATTATATCTAGTACTTACTCCTTTTAATACTAGTATTTTTGGAAAAGTGTATTTTGATTACATTTCCTATTCCATGTTAAATTTAGATTTTCCATCATATGACTTGTTCCTCTGTTAAATGACAACCTGTAATGTGCAGCTCGATTTCAGTTCATTTAGTGCAGACGATGAAGACTACTGTGGTTATGAATATAGTCTTACAGGCCAGCTCTCAGAAGTTAGAATAGTTTATTTGCACCGTTTTGTTCAGGAGGTAGGATATTTAAGATTCATTCTCTTTTAACTTTGTTCAAATTGCCATTTTGACTGAATTCTTTATGTGCAGATTGTTAGTTACTTTATGGGCCTTGTACCTAACAATTCAGAGAGTTTCATTAAGCTGAAAGATCAAGTAACAAATTCAGAGAAGTGGGTCAGTACAACTGAAATTGAAGGATCGCCTGCAATGAAATTAGATCTTTCACTAAGTAGGCCTATAATTCTGATGCCCAGGCATACATACAGTAGCGAGTAATTCTATGAGCTATTTTATAGTTGATTTCAAATTTACGTAGATGTGCATTTACTTTTGATCAAAGGCATTATTTAAATTTTTGTTAATTTGGCCATTGAATTGCAGTTACTTAGAGCTGGATGTGTTGCATATTACTGTTCAGAACACATTCCATTGGCTTGGCGGGAACAAGGATGAAATAAGTGCGGTTCACCTCGAAATAATGACCATTAAGGTGCTCAGTGATTTAGAGTAATTTTTTACATAGAACAAATTTTCTAAATAAACTCATTCTAATTTTTTTTAAAAATCGACCCACTCCTGTTTTATTTACAATATCGACCCACTTCGTGGCCACGTCAGCATCTTTTTTAAAAATCGACCCACTCCTGTTTTATTTACAATATCGACCCACTTCGTGGCCACGTCAGCATCGTGACCACGAAGTGGGTTGATTTTTTTTAATGCGTTGCTAAATAGTCGGGATTGCTAACCCCGACTATTTTGGGCGTCCTGGGTAATTTACAAGCTAAATTAGTCGGGGTTCGAAACCCGGACTAATTTAGCACACTTTCTAAATGGTCGGGGTTAGGAACCCCGACCAATTCGAAAGTCTTAGTTCGAAATGGTTGGGGTTCCCAACCCCGACCATTTAGCAGAGACATTTGCTAAGTTTCAAAAGAGTTGGGAATTGGCAAAGGCAAAATAGTCGGGGTTGGGAACCCCGACAATTTCGTGCACGCTATGCACAAAATAGTCAGGGTTCCCAACCCCGACTATTTTGTAGAGATCTTCCAGCCCACATTCAGCTGGAAAATCATACTCCTATTAATACATATCAATCCACCAACTCTTGGTACACATTTATCAATTCACAATGCAATCACAAACACAAATAACACATACCAATCAATAATCGCAAACATTCATTTCACTTACTAAAAATCCATAATCAATCAGATATATACCATGCAATTCACTTACTAATAATCCATACTCAATCGGATATGTAACATTCAATTTCAAACGCAAGCATCCTATCAAGTATATCGAAACTTAACAAATATTTACAACTCCCTTTCCTCTCCCTCTCCCTCTCTCCCCCTCTTCTTCCTCTCCCCCTTCCCTGTTCACCTTCGACGTGAGCTCGGATGAGATCCTCGTCCGGTTGTGTGAAGATGGGAGCGCATGACATCCTTATCGACTCGAACCTGCTGTGAACATCCGGCTTGAGCTTGCTATGAGCCGCCAGCTTCATCATGTGCACGGCTTGAGCCTGCTTCCGTGTGTCCTCGGAACCATCAATGCGCGTACCCTATGAGGCACTCCTCATGTCTATCACGTCTCGCATTACGCGTCCTCTTCAGAGCAGACTGAATCTTTTTTATTATGTGAAGGAACGTGTTCCTCGCCCCCGGCTCGATAGTCGTTCTCAATGCATCATGTGCCATATTAGCTACATATTAGCAATCTCATCGAGCTCTTGTACCTATAGGATAAAAAGCAAAAGAGAATTATTAGTAAGTGGATGGTAATAAAATAATAATCACAAAATAATTGTATATTTTGCCTATACATTTACCAATTCTCTCTTAATTAGACCTCTTGGCATGTACTCCTTGGGGGCTTTGTTCTCCTGAAATATCCATCGGTCAGGTGCAAGTACACACCTAGGTCTGGTGCGTCAGTCCTCTCTATCACTACTTGTTCCTCCCTCAACTCCCACCTCTGGATGTAAGCAAGTCGAATTAATTTCCAATTTGTATGATGTGCACATTTTCTGGGATTTCGCTCTATTCTCTCTACAGGGTCCAGAACATGTTGTAGTTCAAATTGTCGGAGCACACGGTCGGGCACGTGTATCTCGACAATCTCAAAACATGATCGGGACGCGAGCACGCCATACATCCTCACATTTCCTGCAAATATTTGGTAGTGACTCCGAAACTACTTCATAGGACATCCACTTGACCTATAAAAATATTAAGTAAATAAGTAAATTTACATATCATTTGATTGAATATATTTAGATATTATGATTTAATACATGTTCATCCTCCATTTGATCAAGCTCGTTCCTGTAGAAGTTTTCATGGCCCTTTGGTGAGGTTTGTCAAGATCTGGACACATTCCATCTATTTTATAAATGAAAGGATTAGTATAGATTAAAATAAATGTATAAAATTACATGTAATCATATCTATTATAAAATAACTTAGTAATACTTACATCCTAACAGAATATGACCATCGAGAGCATGTGTCTCCCTCAAATCTGGGCATCTCAAATGCAATTTCTCTCATGACCATATTTGCAGCAAAGTGAGGCAAATCTTGAATTCTTTGTTCTGTATGAGTGTCACTTTGGTCATCTCCCTATACAGATAAGCTAACACAACACTCCTCCATGACAACCCTCCACACTCCTCCATCGTACCTTTAATACGTACTGATGGCGAGCGTCCGACTTGTCTCTTATATTCAGGAGGTAATACATGCGGTCCTTTATAGGGTGGTCAGTAAAGACTATCTACAATGGAATGAAAACACTGCTTGTATGAATCTCTATAAGCGTATGTGTAATACGAAGTGTTTGCCCCCCAAATTGCTTGGACGTAACCGTTATAACATGTGAACATGATAATTTTTGTAATTCTGGTATGTTACAAGTGCATGTGCATTGTGTCACTCGTAAATTGACGGTGTAATTATGACCGTGAATGTCTGTAACCTGCCATTCATCTGCAATAAATCTAACAATCTTCTTTAATCTCGTCTGCTTGACACGAGCTCCTACAATCTCTTTATTTTTTGGTGTCAACGAGTGCCACTGTGCCCCATTCTCTTACCGCTTGACAAAATAAAAATTTAATCTATAAAATGTCCTCGCAACCAATGCCTGTATGGGCATTGCTCGAGCCCCCTTAAGTACCCGTTGAAGCTTTCAAAACAATTAGTTATCATCATGCAGAACCGATTCCCCCATCTTTACTTAGTGCCCACGGTCCTCGTAATCACTCCCCAAACTACTCTCAATCCAGTCATGTGTAGCTGGAGATAATACCTTCATTTTCTCCCGTATCCGATCATACACACATGTTTCGAGTGCACAACCCGTCTGCCAAAGAAAGTTTTGTAAATATATTTGACCAAAGATTTTTTTAAAATTAGATCTAATGTGTCGTAAACAATAACGATGATTGTTATGAGAGCCAAATCTCCTGTACAATGTTCTTGGAATACCTTTCATCCTATCAAATATAAAAGTAATTTTCCTAAGAGGCAAAACATCAAAAATATATAATTGAATGCAATAAAAAAACCACTCCTAATTTTCATTGTTCTCGACCTCCACAACTGTAAAGGTCAAAGGAAATAAGCCATCATCTGCATCTACTCCTGTAACGACAAGCAATACACCCTTATATTTAACGTATCCTAATTTTTACTGTTCTCGACCTCCACAACTGCGAAGGTCAAAGGAAATAAGTCACCATCTGTATCTACTCCTGTAGAGACAAGCAATACGCCCTTATATTTAACGTATAAATATGTACCATCAATGCTAAGAACTGGCCGATAAAATTTAAATCCCTCGATCGAAGGACCAAATACCCAAATACCGAGGTGAATTGATGAACTCCCGGATTGATCTATTTGGTTATGAGTTTGTATTCAGATCCAGGATTGATTCTTTTTATCCCATTAAGATATTGAGGTAGTGTCGCGTATGACTTCTCCCAATCACCAAATATTTTTATCATAGCAATTTTCCTTGCATTCCATGCTTTACGATACGATATTTCAATGAACTTCGTATCTAGCACTCTCAATTATGCTATCGGGCCTTAGTTCAAGCTTTTTCTTTAATTTTAACATAATCAACCGCGATATGTAAGAGGCAGAAGCACCACTGTGATCTTGCTCGAACATTGGATTGCTACATGTATGAACACTGCAGTATTTTGTGATCCTAAAATACCCATTATGTTTTTTTTCGGTAAATACATACAACTTCTATGGACATGCGTAATCAGCTTTATTTTCCTCGGCCCGACATTTTCTGTGTAATCATAAAACAGATTGCCTCATAACTTGTGCGATTGTTTTTAATTTGCTTGAATTTGACCAACTTTTTGATTGAGTAATCACAAATAATATCAATCAATTGGTCCTTAGTCTCGAACAAATCATCAACTCTAAAAGGGACGTCATCATCTCCTCTATGAGTTGAACTTTGGCCAATGCGCGTATCTTATACTATGGAAGAACGAATCCACTCATCATCTTCAAACTAGTCGGGTGGTAGTTCTTCGTACTCAACATATTCATTATTAACATAAGCCTCGTCAGGCCAATCTGGATTCTTTTCAACATCTTCACTCATAAATTACATGCTATCAATTGGTGCACTATCTTCATCTTAACCTTCAGAGGCGTTGCTTCTTTCATCATCTTTAACTGTTGCCCCTCTTAACGACCTCATATTTTCATAAAGGACTTCATTGTTCATGATATTTGACAGTCCACCGAATGAAGGTGCACCACTGTGATATTGAAATTGAGTCCGCTACATTTCACTCGAAGAAGAAAGAAAACTATCAGACTCAACTCCCAAATCTAACATACGTGAGAATTTTCCTGAAGGGTTGAATATTTGGCACAAACTATGTGACAACTTTTCAATAAACAATTCTCTCGTAGGTTTCGACTTGCTCAAATTAAACATAATACTCATATGATGATCATTTGAGATCTCAACTGCGGACGTTCTATCAAAAGTTATGTGCCAATTGCATATTGTTTTTAGTCGGTACTCTCGTGGGTCAATTGTCGTAACTCGGTGTAATTCATTAACCAGGTCACAGTAACTATATTATTCCAAGATCATTAACGGCGTCGTTACCCCTCCAACGTACGTTGGCATATTATTCATTCCATAATTAATTTTTTCACCATAAGAGCAAGCAATAAAAATCATATTGTTCAACCTATGCAAAAGAAAATTATATCATTTAAATACAAAAAATTTACAAAATATTATCAATTACAATCCTAAACCCCAAATTACAACCTTAACCCCCAAATTACAACCCTAAACCCCCAAATCCTAAACCCTAGATTTGAACATTTTTTGCCCTAAATGTTTAATTTCAACTACAACAATAATAAATTTTCTAAATAAACCACTACAAATGGAGTTCAAACCCTAGAAATTCGTTTTGGCGAGAAAACCCTAGATTTTTACGTGTTAAAAGAGGAGAGAAGGAAGGGAAATTACTTATTAGATATTTCACGTTGAAATTTCGTCGAAAAATAGGGTTGGAATCCGAGATCGGTGGCTTGGGGGAGACCAGCGACGGGTTTTAAGTGAGGGAGGTGGCTGGGAACGAATGGTTTGGGGGGTTATATAGGGGCGGGACCCAGAACAGAATAGTCGGGGTTAGCAACCCCGACTATTCTGTTCCTTAGCCAATTTTCCAAATCGTCGACTGGGGGTGGAATGTTTCTGCTAAATGGTAGGGGTTGGAAACCCCGACCATTTCGAATTAGGATTTTGAAATGGTCGGGGTTCCCAACCCCGACCAATTTAAACGTGTGATTAAATTAGTTGGGTTTTCGAACCCCGACTAATTTGGCTTCTAAATAGGAGGCGACCTCCTAAATAGTCGGGCTTGCCAACCCCGACTATTTAGGAACGAGATTAAAAAAAATCGACCCACTTTCTCGCCACGATGCTGATGTGGCGAGAAAGTGGGTCGATTTTTGTAATAAAAACTCAATGGGGTCGATTTTTAAAAAAAATTGTAAATGGGTTTATTTAGAAAATTTCTTCTTTTTACATAATCTGTCTCCAATTAGTTACTTATATTTTCCCCTACCCCCACAATTAATATCCCAAGAAAGCACATGGGATGCTTTCTTTATTATAGTTAAGTCCTGCGTCATTTTCTCAGTTTTTTTGTGTTCTATGATTTTGCTTATGCCTTTTCTACTTTATATTTGTTTGGATCCGATTAAAGTAAAAGACATGTGGAATAGCTGACTATCTAGAGCTTTCTTCTGCTCCATCGAAGAGCCCTTCTTGTGAAATCTCAAGGAAAGCATACAAGGGAATTAATATTATTGACCATACATTTGTTTCTTTTTTGAGGGACCTCATATATCCCTTCGAGTTTTGTATTGACTGAGAGGAGACATTTGCATCATTCATTCATAGCATACTTCAAGGCCATACAAACTGTTCTCAAATATTTTCTTTTAGAAAAGCTATTTACATGTTTAGCTGGGCAGATCGAAGACATCAACTTAACTGTTGGCAATGACACAATATCTGGTGAAAGTATTATTCAAGATGTGGAAGGGCTTTCTGTTGTTATTCAGAGGTCACTTCGAGATATATTGCACCAAATTCCCACCACAGAAGCAGCAATCAAGGTTATAATAAAATCTTGAAAGTTCGTAAACCTGTTATTTTGCTACTAAAAAAATCTTCAACCTTTCATTATGTGACTTTGCTTGAAGTCTATTTGGTGATAATGTACCTTGATATTCTTTACCTTTTCCAATTTCAGATTGAGGTGTTGAAAGCAGCTCTGTCCAACAAGGAATATGAAATAATTACAGAATGTGCAGTATCGAACATATCCGAGACTCCCCATATTGTGCCTGTGTTGGACAAAGGACCGAGAATTTCTTCAGATGGCTTTGAGGAAGATCACACTTCTTTTCCTTCAACCACTATAAAATCTCAAATTGAGAATAAAGAAGTATGGATAACAATGAAAACCTCAGTCTCCATTACTTTGGTGGAGCTTTCTTTGCATGCAGGCTCATCTAGAGATTCACCACTAGCTAATGTACAGGTACAAGTTGTTCTAATGATATTTTATTATAGTGTTGATATTTATGACTGCTGCATATCATATTTCATTCAATTGATTATGGCTGCATATCATACTTCGTGCTAATGATGATGAAAATATGAACCGTAAGATGTCAGTTATGGGTACAGAATGTCATAATTGAACCTAGATTACAAGCATGGTCCCTACTTAGAGAACATGTACACTGATTTTGCCCTTTCTTATTTGTAAAAATAGCAGACCCTTAATATTACTGCTCTTTATCTTCGAATATGCGCATTTTCTGCAGTTTCTGTCGCGAGGTTAGATGTTTTGGTGTTTTCTTCACTCTGGTTCATGAGTTCATTTCTGGGCTGCAGGAGATCTGTTCCCATTGTTTTTTCAATATCTTGGTGTTATGAAGAAAGTTGGACAAATCTCTTATTTTTTGAGAGGATGATCTATTGCTTTGTTAAGGTTTTGTGTACTGTTTTACTGTTTTCTGCTGCGAAATGCTATTAAAGGTGTAGTTAATCAATATACGAAGGGACTATTACTATTTAGTATACTTTGCCACTTCTAGGCTTGTTTCTATACCTCTCCTTTTATATATTCAGGATGCTATATCTCACAATTTGCATTTGGTCCCCTTGTCCATATTTGGCCTCTCTGTTACGTAAATGTTTCTGTAACAGTGGAGGTTAAAACTTAAAAGGTTAGGAACATACATGAGATCTAGAACTGCAAGCTCTTTGATCTTTTCAACTCCCTAAAGATTCATTGTTGAAGAATGTTGAACAAAGCTCGTGTTGAGGAGATTATTTAAGGTGAATCCTTCCAGTTTAGTCTGTAGAGTCAGTTAGGATTTTACCATGTAGTTTTTGTTTTTCTTTTGCTTTTATTTTGTGCTTGTTTCTTGGAGAATAGCTAGATGCAGCACTCTCTACAACCCTGCAATTTCCTTTTAACACTGCACCCTCTTGACAGCATAGTTGAAGCCCACTGAGTTAGATGGCACTTTTGTGAGAAAGGATGTTTCTTATACATTGCTAACAATGTTGGAATTGTGAGCAGATAATTTGTGAAGCGAGGGTAAGGATCTGATCATTTCATTTCAGTGCATGAGAAATTGTCAGATACATCGATTTTCATTGTCAATTGCCTTCAGAATTTAATTTCTACGTACAAACTTTGTTTTTTCAGTTTTGAGCACCTTCTTCCCTTAAAGACCACCAATCTCGCACCCAGCTCATAGCATAGGCCGCCTGTCAGCGGGAGCATATCAACAGATAGATTCCCATGCACGTACTAAGCCTACCCAGCCCATTGCATAGGCACCTGACAATGCAGCATATCAATAGATAGATTGCCGTGCATGTGCTAAGCCTTTGCACTTCATTGCACTTCAATTAACATCGGAAGGGATTTAACTACTAATATGTGTATGATTACCAAAAATGTGTCAAGTCCCAAACGCATTTCAACAATCTAGCCTAGAACTAAGGGTACAATAAACCCTCACAGACTCCTAGGCTAATTTATTTAAACCTATTCAAATCCTCTAGCATCCAAATTTGGAAGCAACTAGTTAGCAATATTCTAGTACCCTGAGCTCTAACCCTATAAAGTTACCTGGTATTCAGGGAAAAAGAGCTGTAGTGTTTCAATGAGGATGGAAACTCCTCACAAGTGGGCAAGAAAAGTTTGTGAGAAATACGAAACAAACACATTTTGTTGGATGTTGCCGCAGAGTATGAATGTCTGATGTATGTTGAACAAGAGATTATCTTGGTGAAATGGTTTATCCATGTCTTATCAACAAGGGATTGATTGGTTCTTATCAACGTTCTTCTCATCAATTCTAGTATTCTGTTGCACGTGATGTGTGCATGACATGGTAGCATAGAGAGTGCTGTAAATTAAATTGTCAAGGAAACGGACAAAATTATTTCTTTTTGAAAATTTCCAAGTTGATAGAATTTCTGTTGATTTCTCTAGGCGTGAGGGCATTTTCGCTGTTTTTCTCAAGTGAGGGCTCTCCTTTTTTTTCCAAACGTGAGGATGTTTTCAGATTTCTAAAAAGGAAGCTTACACAAACCTGAGGAAGGACTTATTTTAAATATAGTTTAAATTCCTCTTTATATGCTCTCCTTTGCTCATTAGCAGACCGGAGACTCTTAAGATAGTTTCTTGTGGAAAATGTGAACATGAAGTAGGCACTGTTTAGTAAGGTGATGGAGGCTCATGATGCTGATTTGTGGAACCAATATGGGTTTTCTCAAGAAATAAAGTTTAAAGGTGTGAGCATGAGGACTAGGGTTAATGTTAGATAGTCTAGGGGACCTTTCTTACTTTGTTCTTCCTCATCTTGGTGAAAGAAATGATGAGGAATGTTGGGCCTTTTGAGAGTATACTTCTTATTAGGTTTTGCTTGGATCCATTCGCCAGTGAGGGTTTCTTTTGTTGACAAATTACTCAGGATCTTTAGCGCTGTGCTGCCTACCAGAAGAGAAGCGTTTTCTTAGAAATTGTATCGACTGGAGGTGATGGAGATGGGGGCTCATTTCTGGAGTTTGATTAGAAAATTACCTTAAGCAATGTTTTATGACAGTTGAGGGTTTGGTTCCAACTGCAGAGTAGGATGATAAAAGATGATGCAAGCTCTTTCTTTGGTTTATAGTATCTATACAGTTAAGACGCAAGGGTGGATTTTGCTGGACCAATGTGGGAGGATAGTGCTCTTGGGAAAGTTAATGTCCACATATTGTTAATTAATATTTTTATGAACACCTGTAGTTAATTATAAAGAAGTCATGAGTAACAATATAAAGGAGAAAGGGAATGAGCGAGCCTCATTTTATCTGTCCAGTGTGTTCTCAGGACGAAGAGATTATTAACTTTGGACTCGCCTTATGTGTCTATCCTGGAAGCTTTGATTTAGTCAGTTGAATAATCATTGACTTTTGCATTTTGTCAACGAGATGTTAGTAAAATGGAGAAAATGGTTAGGAAGAATGCTTGAGCTGCTTGTGACGCCTAAATGTTGGCATAATGCTGGATTATTCGGGAAAGGGCCTTTAGAGTTTTCAGGGCTACCTCTACATTTCATCCTTTTCTTTAACTGGTTCAGCAATCACCTTCTATTGTTCATTCATAAGTTCTTTTTCAAGCAAGGAAACTGATGTGGGGCTTAAGTTTGAGGTCTTTACTTTTGGGTGGGTATTCATTTGCATTTTGTGCCTAATGCTTCATGATAGCAAGATGGATCTTCTTATGTTGTTATTTTCTGTTTTGCCTTCGTAAGGTTTTTTTTCTTTGTTGTGATGACATTGTGTCCTATAACTTCTAACAAGCTTAGAGAAAGCACTAGCCGGCCAAGGTGCTGGACCCGATGCCTAGAGCCTAGGCGGGCCTAGGCGGTTTTTCTTTTTTTTAATCACAATAATTGATTATAAATTCTAATGTTATAGAAAGCGTTAGGCACCAGACTGGCACCTAGGCAGATTTCTTTCTTTGTTTAAGCTGTGGAGGTTTTGCCGAAGGTCAGAGGTAGAGGAGGTGTTCATAGTTGGTGAAGAATGCTGGAGGAGTTTGAATGAGGTTGGAGAATGTGGAAGCTGCGAAGAAAGAAATCACAACCAAGACCTAAGTGGTGCAGTTCACATAAGCGACCCATACGCCCCTAGGCACTCTCAAGACCTAGGCGGGTGGCCTAGGTACTGCCTAGGCACTAGGCAGGCCAGGTGCCCGCTTTTTAAAACATTGACTCCTGAGATACTTGGTTCTGTCTTACCTTTCTTAGGAAAGCCAATTATAGGTTTGGTTCTCATCAATTCCTTATAATCCTCTAGATTTCAAGCTGGATCCACTTAAGTATAGCACACAACACCGTAGTATATATCTTTCTTGACTTATGCAAGTATTGAATCTGGTTAGATGTATGTGGTTATTCATTAAATATTCTAAACATGACGTACATTTGTGATGGGGAATGGCAAGATGGAGATTCCTGATGAACTCATATGGATCAAATAAAATAAAAATGTAAATAATAAAATTGCACTCTTCATTTAGGAATAGAAAAAGATACAAATGTGGGCCTAATATCGGAACACCTCACATGCTAGCACCGTACATGCCTAATATCAGTTGCAATTCACATGTAGATTTCTCAGAAACATTATTCTCTCTTCCCTCAAGTGACAAAATACAATGTTATTTATAGAAAAACTAAGAAGATAAAAAATCCTAACTAAAGAAGAGATAACGTCAAATAACATCCTAATTAAAAAAAGATATCGTCAGATTAGATCTTAACTAAAGGAAAATGTAAAATCAAATAAAACTATAATTAATTTATCTAATCCTAATTAAACTAAATCTGATAAAATGTTCTTCATGAAATCGTTTATTTTTTTTTAAAATTCAGATTTGTATCTGTCCTGCATCAATTTGGCTGCTGGGAAGATATTATCAGATTGTGAATAGTTGCTTTTTGATTGTGGAAGATGCTTAATTCATTGCTGTTAGTGCTGGTTGATTTATGGATTGATTCTGAGCAGACTATCTATACTTCATTTCATTCGCAGTTGAATCTACATAGGGGTGACTGATGTGTTTACAAGTTTTTTAAGTTTAATATATATACCCATCTATATACTATAGAAATTGTGGGGTTATCGAAACTTTCCCCTCTTCTTCGTCTTTGGATGGGTATTAATTTAAAGGTGTAAGGGTAAACTGGAAATCTTTGTTTCCCGAACGATGAGCATTAAATGCAGCACACCTCTGTGGTATTTGTACTCCTCCCGTTTCATCATATTGCCACCAGAGGATCTTTCTAACATTATTGCCACCAGAGGATCTTTCTAACATATCTTTGGCCTGGAAATCTGAGGGCAAGAATATCATTTATACTTCTTTTTACCCATTCAAATCAACAAGTACATCCAACATAGTTACTGTTGCATGTATAAATGTTAAACATAGAGTAGAAATACAAATTGTTTTTAAGAGTTTCAATATAACATTTTCTATATTAATTATCTATGCTAACTTAAATTATATATATTAGATGGTATACTTTCTATGTATCAGTTTTTCTTATCTTATTTTAAAAGTTAACATGTCCCACCTTGTATCATAAGTAAAACTTGAAAAACTTGGGGGGGGGGGGGGGAGGAAAAAAACTTATTTAATTTAAAATTCATAAGTTTATTTATTTTATCAGTTGAACTTTACCAAAACATATGAGCTAATAATTGGACTAAGATATCAAAAAAGAAATTTTAATTAAGAAACATATTAGGAGATTGTTCATGAAGTTATGTAGGATTTTTTTTAGAGATTAGTTGTTTTAGAGATTGGTCGTTAAATTATGTGCACTTTGATTTTATTTTTAAATTAAAGATCTAATAGAAATAATAATATATCAACTTCTTATGTCCTCTTTCTTTTTTTTTCATGCACATTATGCGAAGATGACAATCTTTTTTAAATCAAGAAAATATAAGATGATTTAATTGATAACAACCCCCCCAAAAAAAAAAAAAAACAAAAAAAAAAAACAAAAAAAAGGAGAAAAAGGGAAAAATAACCTCCCAAGGTGAATCTCGTACTCGTCCCTGAATCTACATCATAGCTATATGAATCTTGTACCACCATTTTGTTTAGAATTCCTACTTACCTTTATGCTAGGTATGTAGTTCTTGTCGTCTGTGACCTAATCATGCCTTGGAGGTAAAGCAGAGGGTTGGCAGTTTTACAGAAACAATGACCGCAAGACCTTAGCACAACTTGGTTTTTTGGGTTTAAATGCATATCTTTCTCAATTTAGCTCTATGAAGGGTCATTTTTCTGTGAAGTTGGCAACAATGCATCGTTTTTTTAACCAGAGGAGTATGTAATAAGTCTAGCCCAATCAATTTATTGCCTTTTTCTAAAGACTATAAGCTCCTCTAACGCTATGTGCCATTGGACTGATTCTGGAGTTCCTCTATTTTCTCTTGATGTTGCAGGCAAGTGGAGCTTGGATGCTTTATAAAGCAAATACTTGTGGAGAGGGTTTTCTTTTTGCAACTCTCAGAGGATTCTCAGTCATTGATGGGCGTGAAGGAACCAAAGAGGAACTCAGGCTTGCCATTGGAAAATCTGGTGCAGTTGGACATAGATCTGTTTATGTAGAAGATAACAGTCAGCATTTGAAGGACCCTCAAGAGGGAGAAATACTTAAGAAGATTGGAAACCAACCAGTCGCTTCAATGCTTATTCTTGATGCTATTTTTAAAAATGCTTTGACAAGTGTATCTCTATGCATCCAGAGACCGAAGTTGCTTGTGGCCCTTGACTTCTTACTTGCCATTGCTGAGTTTTTCGTTCCTTCTGTTCGCGACACACTATCTAGTGGGGAGGATAATAACCCCCTACTGATTGGGGGTGCAATTATTCTCAATCAACCTGTTTATGTCCAACCTGCCTCAGTATTCTATCTTTGCCCAAAGAAACCTCTTATTGTTGAGGCCGAGCGATTTGATCATTTCGTGTATGATGGGAATGGGGGACAATTGTATCTACAGGATGCTGAAGGGAGAACACTATCTGATTGTGCCACAGAACCCATTATCTATGTTGGAAGTGGCAAGAGGCTGCAATTTAAAAATATTACTATAGTGGTATAGTTCTCTGTTTGGAGATATCTTTACTATTTTCTATTTCCTAAATATGATTAATGATGTGATTTGATTGCTATATTCTGCTACAGAACGGGGAATATTTGGATTCTTGTATATTTCTCGGAACGGATAGCAGTTACTCGGTCCTTGAAGATGACAATGTCTTGTTACAGAGAGGAGAAAAAGATGCTCATTTGGATCCGCAACAGGACAGGACAGAGGGTGTAGATCGTAAACGAGCTTCTGCGGATGGTTCCATAGAGTTTGTTATTGAGTTGCAGGTATACTATCCATTCTTCCTACTATAAAAAGTCAAAGATACTTAACTGTTCTTTTTTTTCTTTTAATATATATCAGAAATTAGATTGTGTATGTTGTATGCAATTTCCCTTCTTCTAGATATAAAGAGAAAATGAAAGAATCTGTTGGGCTCTTGTCCGAACCCTATTCTTTGATTTCGTTCTATTCTAGGCCATCTCCTCTATTAAGTTAAACCATTATCATTTTGTTCTTAATTGCTTCCAACCAGGTTTAGGTATATCTCTAAATCTTTTTGCCCCATTACTTGGTTAATGAGGCAAAGAGATCTAGAGGGAGACCTGAAAGAGCTTGATTGGAACTTGGAAACAATTAAGGATATGATGATAGTTAAGAGGACAGTGTACTATACAATGTAAGTTGCTATATTTTTCTGTAACTTGCTATGTATTTTTTTGTAACTTGCTATGTATTTTTCTAAATGGTTAGGTATACTGTGAGGTTGTAGCTAGGAAGCACTGACTATATTTGTGTTGTATTCATGTCATTTAATCCAGCACCTAACTAGGAAACAGTGATTACATTATTGTCATTTAATTCAGCACCCTTTATGTATGAATGGACCATTTCGCACTATGAAATAAAGTTGGAAATGGGTCTTTTTTTGGAATTAAAAGTCCAAAGAGGACTGTTTTGAAAATTTGTCCTAATTCTCAACTCCCATGATAGATAGGAACTTCTTCACCCATTTTAAACTATTTCCGAACATATGATACCTTCCAAATTGACTCGTTAAGGAAATCTTCGCTTATTTAAAGTCTCTCTCTACTCATTTTATCGACTAAAAGAAACATTGCTTTAATGCTCCGAGCTAATCCACACCCTTGAAAATTAAGAGGAGAATTTGGAAGTATAAAGTACATATTTTTGCAAGTATAATGGTTTTATAAAAGAATCCACGCTTTTTCGTTTAAAATAGATAAATTGATATTAATCATTGTAGGGACAAGGGAGCTATTGTATTTTCAAAATTAGATAATCACTTTGCAAATGATATATTATAAGTCCACAATGTCACATAAAAATAAAAGAGAGAAAACAAAAAGAATGAGCTTTACATAATAAGGTTAATTCACAAATTAAAGAATTAAAGAAAAAGGAAAACAAGAATATATGAGCTTTCATGGATAAAAAACAAAAAGGTAACCCTTTACCTGTGGTATTTGTGTCATTTAATTCAGATACCAATCATGCAGGTTTAATCTAGTCTTCTACACCCTTTACCTGTTATATTCATGTCATTTAATCCTGCGCCTAACAAGAAACACCGACTGGTATCTTCAATGATCACCAATACCTTACCTGGAAATCTTCTGAAAAACTGGCAATTCAGTAACTGTTGTATGGAAAGTTAGATTATCGAAGATTATTATGTTCAGTCCTTCTTGAAGATGAAGATCACAGCGTGGAAGGAAAGTTTTTTTCATTGTTGTATATTGGTAGTAGGTTTCTTGGGGATGAAGATGTAGGACAGTGATGGCATATTGTATAAAAAAATCACTACTTGGAATTATGTTATCCTTCTTATCTTTTTCTTTTTCACGGAGGGGTGGGGATGTAACAGAAGAAAGAAGAGAATACAGAACATGTGAGTAGCCAGCATGAAAAGAAATGAAGCGAGAACAACTGCTTTCTAGTTTAATGTGTTGGTGTACTTCCCAAGGTTTCTTAGCTAATTTTAAACCATTTCATGCTTATTCCTTAATTAGTAGAGTCCTGGATGTACACAACGTCATGACACCAGCGGGACTGCCTGTGATATCAGGACGTAATGGGTAAGATGGATGAGAGGGGAAAAAAAGGAGGAAATGAGGATAGGATGCCGATCACTCTGAGAATACATCACCTTAGAATAAACAATGATAATTGTGGTTAGCCTACCACTGTAGATATACAGATTCACCACTGTAGAGAAAAATGGCGGTCACCACTCTTAAGGGCCTCCTTAGAGATACAGAAGAGCACTTACAATCAATGGATTTTAACTCAAATCAAAAGTCTGTCGTTTTCATTAGACAATTAGTGCGTGTGTGTATATATATAAGCTTGAAACATCCCTTCAACCATTAGAATTTTAGAAAATTGAAACTCAACATAGAAAACTTAAAAGACAACTTTGACTAACTAAAATATATCCTAGGAAACATAAAGGGCCCTGCAGACCAGATTGACTCTCCCTTAATATTCTGCAGATTAACTTTTTCTAGCAAACTCCAATTCATGCACAATCAGATCCATTTTAAAATAGAGTCATTAATCTTTTTAATGCTTCAAATGAGAGTTGATTGGTGTCGCCTAGGATAAGTATTGACTGAAACTATCAGGCAGTCTGAAAATAACCCTTGAACTTCTAATGCTCCTGCATCGGCCTATAGCTTACTAACCTATTTTTAATATGCTCCTATAGATCACAAATATGTGAATATGGAATATAGCCGAGGTACACAAGAATTTGTGAGCACCAAAGGATTATTCTCTTTTTTTATTTTCTTTTTCTTGTTATGATATTCTTGCTAGAGGCTACAAGGTACAAGGTAAGGATATGATAAAGGTAAATGTACATGGTGCGGAAAATAATTAAAGAATACAGGATTTTGACACAACATGAATATGGAAATACAAAAGTATACATGTGTATCGAATAACATTATTCATCCTAGTACTCCGCTGCACACGATGCTATCGCATGCATGATACAGTACACCTTTTTTGCAGAATAATAAAAATTCTATTAAAACCTATGCTATTACAAATAGATGTCTACAAAATATTCCAAATGATATGTTTGAATAAAAAATCCTATTAAAACCAACGCTATTACAAGTAGATGTCTACAAAATATTCCAAAAGATATAATTGTAAGGTAATTCACAAATTAGTAACCTCTTACGCTAACTTTATTTTTATTGAAATTCTCACCAATTCTTTCCCATATCAATATTTTTGAGCAAGAGTCTTAACCCCACATTTCCACTGAAATACTGATTTCAGTATTTGTTATGAATATATATATTGACCACAATACAGAAAATGCAGCCAAATTTTGGTGCTACAATTATTAAAATTGGCAATTAAACTACCTGACCTTGCTCTAAAAGGGGGAGGAGAGGCTTAGAACAGAATTTTGGAGAACCATGGTTACATTCATGAATTTTTCATCAGAGATCATGCAAAATATGCTTTGAATTCACTCACAACCTTCAAAGTAAAATATTAACTTCAATCAGTTTGTAGAAATCATGAAAATTACCTGAGAATATAGATCACCAAAAAGATGACAGAATCGAGTTCCACATGTGCGATGAAAACATCAGAGTCAAAACTTTCTCACAGTATCATCTGACATTCTTGACATCAATGTTGGAGATGTTGAGCCTTTTGTTCTCGATCAATGTTTGTAGGTACATTGTGGGCGGAGTATGATGATTGGAGGGCTTTTTTTATATTAAAGGAATATGATTAGAGTTTAAAGTTTGGCAGCCGAGGCGAATTTTTGTAGTGGATGCAGCAATTTTCTTTCAATCAAGGGATGTGATAGATGTAGATTAATTCTGAGATTAATTTAGATTTGAAACATGGGTTAGTGTTGGTAACTGGAAATGGGTTTTTAAACTTTCCAAATTTGTCCTTATATAATGTTAAGGAAGTTGTAAGTTCTGGGACACTTCTCCGAATTAATTGAATTCGTGACTTTCAAAGGGTAGAACCAAAATCATTGACCAAAAAGATGGCTTTTCTTTATTAATAGCAATAGATGACATATTTTAGGAACTATAGTGGCTGGTTTGTTAGACTGTTGTGGTTGAAGAACACGATAATTCTGGTGATATAAAACATTTTTAAGTTATATAGATCACTGGTCATGAGAGCAATAAAATTCTTTGGCAAGCTGTATAAAGCATCTACAAGTCAAATTTAATTCTTGAACTTATTGTTCATTCCTTTGGATAAATCTGTTAACACACATTTGGTCTGTGGGGATAGACTTTAGATTTTTAAGATACATTTTATAAGCGTCCTGTGAGTTTCCATCAGGTATCCCAGTCTCTGAGAATATGTTCCATATATGGGCACCTCTCCTGTATCGAATTAGTCATGAACATTGTATCCAGTTACATTTCCTGTCAGAAGCATGATGTACAAGAATTTAAAGATTTGTGACAGTTTTCTTTGCTTCTTATTTCTAGGTTTGGCAGTTCGATAGGAAAGTAGACTCAGAAATTGCATACTACAACTAAAATACATATATCCTTATAGATATTAATCAGTGATGCTAATCTTTTTCGATTCAATAGAAACCATATCTATCCTTCATACACGGATGTATATGTCTATAACCACATGCAGGTTTTATTATTATACTCCCATCTCTCTTTATAGACAGAATTTGTTCGTGTATTCTTATCTTTCTAATACCGCTCTGTGTGATCTCCAGGCCATAGGTCCAGAGCTTACGTTTTACAATACCTCAGAGGATGTTGGTGAATTACCAATTCTATCAACAAAGGTTATGCATGCGTATCTTGATGTATTCTGCAGGTGAGACACTTACTAAGGCATTTATCTCTTGAACGTGCTAGACGTATTTTGATGTTTTTACTGTTAATCACAGGCTTGTAATGAAAGGGGACAGCTTTGAGATGGATGGAAATATTCTTGGGTTAAAAGTGGAGAGTAATGGGATAAGGGTCTTAGAGCCTTTTGACACCTGTGTGAAGTTCTCCAATGCTTCTGGAAGAACAAACATTCATCTTGCTGTTTCAGATATATTTATGAACTTCTCCTTCAGCATTTTGAGACTGTTTCTAGCTGTGGAGGAAGATATTTTGGCATTTCTAAGGATGACATCTAAAAAAGTCACAGTTGTCTGCTCTCAGTTTGACAAAGTCGGGATAATTCAGAGTAAGAAGTTGCTTGCCATCAAATGGCTACAGCTTGATGGCTACTATTTTGTTGCTTATAAGTTTTCTTTTTCAATTTTTTACTGACTGATTCATTGATTAGATTACAAGAAAGACCAAACTTACGCCATATGGAGACCACGGACACCATCTGGATATGCTCTTCTTGGAGATTGTTTGAGCCCTCTGTACGTTTCGACTCACTTCTCTTTGTTGCTTATAAGTTTTGGATTGTTCTCATTAATGACTCTTCCACAACAGAAATGAGCCACCTTCGAAAGGTGTCCTTGCTGTTAACACCAGTATTGTCAGAGTAAAGAGGCCTGTATCATACAAGCTGATATGGTCATGCCATTACCGAAGTGATGGAAGCAGCGATGGCTCAACAAGTACAGTTTCAAATATTGATAACATTGCACAACAGAATAGTTACTCTATTTGGTTCCCTGTGGCACCGAAGGGTTATGTTGCACTTGGTTGTGTGGTTTCCACTGATCGTACAGAACCACAGTTATCTTCTGGTTTATGCATATTGGCTTCCTTGGTTTCTCCCTGCTCAATGAAGGATTGTGTAGCCCTTAGCTTAACTGAAAAGTATGCTTTGTATATTGTTCTATATTTATAGTTTTATGTTTGTTTAAAATTTTCCAATTTGATACCAGCCTTTTTTTTTGGCAGCCATTCATCTAATATTGCATTTTGGCGAGTGGAGAACTCCTTTGGATCTTTTGTACCTGCAGATCCCACTGATATGGGACCAAGGGCAGGAGCATATGATTTGCATCATATTATCTTGGGCTACTCAGAACATCCTACCAGAGCTTCTAAAAAACCATCTCAAGAAAACCGTGATCATCAGGAGCATTCTCCGCAGCTGGAAAGATCTGGTCTTGTAACCTCGGGTCGGATGTTTGAGGCTGTTGCAAGTTTTCGATTGATATGGTGGAATCAAGGCGCAACATCTGGGAAAAAATTGTCTATATGGCGTCCAGTACTCCAACATGGAATGGTTTATCTTGGCGATCTTGCTGTTCAAGGGTAGATAATTTTCTAATTAATTTTTTACCTCAACATGCATTGGTAATTACAGCTATAGCTTTGACCTTTGAATAATCGCTGGAATTACAGGTATGAGCCTCCAAACTCGACTATAGTTCTTCATGATTCTGGAGATGAAGATTTTCTAAGAATCCCACAAGATTTTCAACTGGTTGGTCAAATTAGAAAGCAGAAGGGGAATGAGAGTGTGTCTTTCTGGCTACCCCAAGCTCCAGCAGGATTCGTTGCCTTAGGATGTATTGCATCTAAGAGCTCACCTAGGCATGAAGACTTCAGTTCGTTAAGATGTATACGTAGTGATATGGTTACGGGAGATCAATTTGCTGAAGAGAGTATATGGGATTCTTCAGGTACTAAGGTCTCATCGGAGCCATTTAGCTTATGGAGTGTTGGTAACGGGATGGGCACATTTATTGTTAGAAGTGGATTTAAAAAGCCTCCAAAGAGGTTTGCTTTAAAGATTGCAGGTTCAACTGTATCCAGTGGCTCTGATGACATGGTAATTGATGCAGAAGTAAAGACTTTCTCTGCTGCTGTTTTTGATGATTATGGAGGTTTGGTATGTAGTCTTGATTCACCGAATTGTATTTCCTCTTTCTTTGATGGTGATATATAAATTGCACTCTCTATTCGGCTATTGGCTATATTTTGTTCTTAATATTGCATGTGTGTGATTTATCTGTTACAGATGATTGTTCTACATGTACTACTTGTTGCACTGCATCAGATTCAGATAACAGTTTTTTTTATTAAACTATTGCTTTTGCAGATGGTTCCACTGTTTAACATATCCTTAAGTAGTGTTGCATTTAGTTTGCATGGAAGGCCTGATTATTGGAATTCAACTGTGAGTTTCTCTTTGGCTGGAAGATCTTATAATGACAAATATGATGCTTGGGAGCCACTTGTTGAGCCAACTGATGGATTTTTGAGGTGTGTTTTGAATCTACACCATAAGTTTGGTTCTCTAGGACATACTATCACATGAGTTGAATATGTTCTGTTGCAAAGGCTTTGTATTGAGTAGCAGTTGTATATTATTTCGACAAAGAATGTGATTCATGAAGCATGTTAGCTAGTTCTTTATACTCCTTATTGTAGTGTTCCTAGCTAGTTCATGGCACAGTCTAATCAGTATATGTGGTTGATTCCAAGGAGGAGTTACTGCACCGTGCTTATATTTACCTTACAATGATGTACAGGTATCAATATGATCTAAATGCCCCCGGTGCTTCTACTCAGGTTCGCATGACTTCTACGAAAGATTTGAATCTAAATGTTTCCGTCTCTAATGCAAATATGATGCTTCAAGCTTATTCTAGCTGGAATAATCTTAGTCATATTGATGAATCATATAAAGCGAAAGTGAGTTTGTGCTGTTTCAGTGACCACTCTTCATTCTTTACTTCGCTAGGTTCATATTCCTGTTGTGATGCTGATATGCTAAATTTTATGTCTTTGTATTAACCAGGAAGTGACTCGTCAAACTTCCAGCGATAGGTCCATAATTGATGTCCATCACAGGGAAAACTATTATATTATACCTCAGAACAAGCTTGGCCAAGATATTTATATACGAGCTGCTGAAATTGAGAAATTTTCTAACATTATTAAGATGCCTTCTGGAGATAATAAACCTGTCAAAGTTCCAGTAGCCAAAAACATGCTGGATTCTCATTTGAAAGGGAAACTTGGTAGAGTATCTCGGTCTATGGTTATGATCATCATTGGTGATGCTGAGGTGAGATGCTTCATTTCATTTGCACACCAATATGCTGTAACATACACAAAATGAAAAAGAAATAAAACCCCTCAAAGTTATGCCTATGTGAGATTGAAATGTTGTACTAATCTTCTTTATTGAAAATTGGACTCCTGTCTAACTACCTGACATTTTCCCATAAAGAAAAGCTAGGTTATTTGCACTTCAATTTGTTCAGAGCCTCTATGTTACCTAAGACATCTGTTCACCATGGCTGGTAGCTTTAGGTCTGTTGCTTCTAAAATCTCAGTATTTTCTCCATCTTGTTACCCTCTTATGATATGGGTTGCTTACCATTCTGCAATGAGTTTTGAACTAGTCATTTGATACTGATTTGGAGCTAGAGATTAGTTCCTATCTGATTATTTGGCAATAGCACCTCCACTTTCCTTTCCTGACATGTTTACGACAATAGCGCTGTTTTCACTTTTTGGGTTTTTAGCCTCTCTGATGAGTTGGGAGCTGGCTATTTAAAGTATGACCGGAGCAAGGAAATCATTCATGTTGATTATTTTAATATTTCCTTACTATAATATGCTTGTATGACCTTTTTCTTTCATCTGATATATTCATATGGCTTCTTTTGTTAAATCCAGGCTTAATATTTATTTTTCCATCTCTTGCATTCTCTTTCTGTGAATGTCGTTATGCTTTCTGAATGTGATTATTATTTTTAATTTGATCTGCTATTGTTGCATAAATGTTGGAATTTTTATTAGAGGAATCTGTTTACTGATGCGACATCTTTTTGCATAGTTCCCAATGCGAGAAGGATTGACTACTGAACAGTACACAGTAGCTGTGCGCCTTTTCACTAGCCATCCCATGGACTCACCATTGCAACAGCAAAGTTCCCGGTCAAGTGGAGCAATCTCAGAGTCTTTATCTTCTGGAGTTTCTCTTGTAAAGTGGAGAGAAGCAATGTTTTTCAAAATTGATTCTGCAGTAAGTAGTTCTCTCATCTCAATTCTCAAGGATATAACCGACTAATATCAAAGGTGGAACATCTAAGGCATGTTCTGATTTATTATAATGGACTAATGATTTTTGAGAATGGGCACTATCAAAAATATTTTGTTGCTTCGTCTTCTTTGGTTTTCCAAGTTCCAACAGTACTTTGGGAATACCAATGACAACGCATAGATGGACATGGGAGCGCAAGTGCACACAGAGAGAGACTTGCTAAAGGATTTGGAGGAGCTTCTACAAAGCAAAATCAAATATTAATTATTCTTTATTTTATTTTATTTTAGTACCTTTGTTGAGGAGGCATGAAACAGACTGGTAAAAGTTGAAAGGTTTTGAATTTACAGTTTACAATGTTTAAGACCTGACAAATATCTTCATAAGAGATGAAAAGACAGGGAAAACCACCATGCCAAGTAAGAAAAAGGAATACTAACAAAACTCCATGTGTTACTGTTAAACAGTTTGGATAGCTAAAGCGCGAAGTAACTGCGATACATTATTTTTTCTGTTGTAGAACAACTTTCAGTTTCAGGCAGGTTTAAATGCAACGAAATTGAATGCTTTTAATGCAGTTCAAACTATTTGAAATTCCATAACACATGTGGTTGCTGAATTGCAGAATGTACTTTCCAAAGATTTTGCTATCGTATTTTACATGTGGGAAAAGATCTCTGCCGAACCATTTTATGACTTTTCTTGTTCTTTCCAACCTTTTCAGGATGATTACATGGTGGAGTTTGTTGTAATTGATGTGGGAAGAGGTAACCTTATAACTATAATATTTGTCGTGTCGCGTGTATGTTATATTTGAAGAATGTTCAAGTTAGTTAGAATTTTATAAAATTTTGAGGTGTGGGCAGGTCTGCCAATAGGGATCTACTCTGCTCCGTTGAAGCAGATAGCTACTCTACTACCACATAGTTCTGATTCTGATGATATTAACTCTAGCTTGACATGGAGGGAACTTTCCTCAGCGAAGTCAATGGTGAGATTTCTTTCATTTTTAATTTTAGTAAAACATTGTTATAATTCTTTTCTATTTTCATTAGTGTGTATTTTGATGCATCATGAATGTACATTTGCTTGCAAAAGGTTTAACACTATGATCTTGTCAGGACTGCGATAGTGATAAGAAATTGCATGGGAAAATAAGATGTGCTGTACTACTTTTTGTTAGACCTGAAATAAAAGATGAGAAAGATCACATGACTAGCAGGGGGAATGGGTTTCTACAGATCAGTCCTACCAGGCATGGACCTTGGACGACTGTTAGGTTAAATTATGCTGCGCATGCTGCCTGCTGGAGATTAGGCAATGACGTTATTGCGAGTGAAGTAACTGTAAAAGATGGTAACAGATATGTTAGCATGCGTTCACTGGTTTCTGTAACTAATAAAACTGATTTTGTTGTTGATCTACGCCTTAAGTCTATGTCTTCATCTGAGGGCGAAGTGAATTACAAAGATGATGATGATGATCATCATGATGGTGATGATGATGATGAAGATAAAGGACTGGATGGTAACAGATTCTACACAGAAGAGTTCTTTGAAGTAGAGAGATATGCTCCGTCAACTGGTTGGGTTAGATATTCTCCAGTCATGCCACTCTCAAGTTCCAACAAATCCGAAAGCGATTATCAGGTAAATGGTTTGATGCTACATTTAGTACTCATGTGATTTTCTTAAGAGTAATGTTTCAGGCCTGTAATTTTGACACCAAAAGAAGTTATGACTCTAGATTGTACATTAGTCTGTTCTGATCTGGATGTCAGTAATCAGTCGCATCATAATTCCTATATAATTGGCAGTGGGTTTCTTTCTGGGTGTGAAAGAGGGGGTCGACATTGTTCTTTACTTACTTTTTTTTCCTATATCAATATCAATATTAAATATAAAATCCCTTTTTTCTAAACAACAATAATTTTCTGTGTCGTTAAGGACGTACCTATGTTTCTAATAGTTTTATTTGTACGCTAGTTCAAAGAATTGACTTTGGCGGTTGGTAATTCTTGATTTTAATTTCTCCACTACTTTCATTTCTGCTTGGATGTAGACATCATGTCAATCTTGATTTTATCCATTCTTATATTTCCTGTTATAAGTTGCTTTGCAGTCTTGTCTAAGATCTTATGAATGATGTTTGCATTCAGGTATTTTGAATCTTTTTCTCTTTTTTCTTTTCTTTTTAGTGAAATCTTCATGGTAACTTGAGAAACTGGCATTATGGTTTGTACTTGTGATTTCAATCTGATTTATAGTGAATTACATGGTCTTTAATTAAAGTTCTACATCACTATGCTTTGATTAGGGTTTAGCGACTAGAAATATCTTCATGTTATCTTTTTCTCAGCAGCTTCTCTAGAATCTTAAAATTTAGTTGGGAGTTACTTTATTACAAGTACAAACCTTGATTATAATATGTTGTGAAAAGGGGGAAACTGGGGGAGAAGAGCCTGAAATTATGGGCTTTAATGTGGGTCTTAGCAGAAAAAATACCAAGGTTATTTGAAAGTTTTACTTAACAAAAATTGGGAAGACAATAAAAATATATGTGAAGGTTTTTAATGATTTATGTGCAACAATAAACAAATATAATGGAGCATTGAGGGACAATATAAAAAATCGACTCTTAGAAGCAATATGTCATTCAAAATGCATTTTTTAGAGAGAATTTCTCACTAAGTTTAGTGAGTGATTGAAAACTAAGTTTTGAAGAGTTGTCCGAACCAGTGCAGAGAGGCTGTTGAATTATTAATGCTATTTTCGCTAACATTGAGAATATGAAAATGTAGGAAATAGGAAATCATGGAATTCCCCTGTAAATGAAACCAAGGTAGATTTATATCTATTTAGCTTGCATGGAATAGCACCCATTGGACCTGGATAAGGTCTTTATCTCACTGGGCCCAGAAAGTGGATAGAAGTGAGAGTTGAATCCCCTACAGCTGGTTGGAGAGAGCTTCATAGGCTTTATACTGCACAGCTTCAATCATAAGGAAGAGCCAATAGCTACTTCTGCAGAATCACGGTTATAGTAAGGCTTTGTGAGTCTTTTGTCAAGAATTTTCACACTGATATGAACATAAATGTTCTTATTCTGTTTAAAAAGTAAAAACTTGTGATATATATTGTTCTATATTTGCATGCTATAGTGAAAAATTGCTTGATCAAGCTGAAGAATTCAAGTGTCTGCATCTTGAAGTGTCAACAAGAAATTCTGAAAATGTTTTATGAGATTACTCCTATATTTGGTTGTACATGCAAATACGGATACAATTATGTTAATTATGGGCCACGTAATGAATTTGTCTCTTGTTATCTTAGTTTGATTTTTGCTCTTAATCCAGGTTTCAAATCTTTGATCTTAGCTGCTGTATGTCTATTATGTGTCCTAGAAAAAATGTTCTAGGTTGCTTCCTAGGTATGGTTTAGTCACTTTGCTATTAATTTGCAATATTTGGTGCTTAAGTGGTGGCAATCATCTTTACATGAGTGTTACCAAAGTTTTTTCCTCTGCTTGTGCTGGTGATCGAGACTTCTAAAAGTTGGGCCTGATGATGTACTATTTGTTCACTGTAATGTACTATTTGATCACTGTTAATAACCTATTAGCTGAATTCTTTTACGTTACCACATTTTATGTTTGTTTGCAGGGTTTTCCTAGTGTTAATTTGCCAGATGGTTGGGAATGGATGGATGATTGGCATGTTGATAGGACGTCTGTAGTAGCAGCTGATGGTTGGGCTTATGCTCCAGATACTGAACATCTGAAGTGGCCTGAGTCATCGGATCACATTAACACTGTGAACTATGCAAGGAAGAGGAGATGGATAAGGAATAGGAAGTGTACTTCATATAATGGGGGGAGTCAAATTTCCATTGGGCTACTGAAACCTGGTCAAACCATTCCTCTGCCTCTGTCAGGCCTTGCACATCCTGTAATATCATATGCTTTGCAACTAAGACCAAAAAATACAATTGATCCAAATGAATATTATTGGAGTTCTGTGGTTGATAAAAGAAACCAGAGTGAGTTTTCAGGTAGAGCTGAAGGACCTTCTGAAATATGTGTATCAGAGCTTACCGAGTCTGATGAGCTCTTATACTGTATGCAGACAAATGGGAGTTCTTCTAACAATTCCCCTGGCTTGTGGTTTTGTTTGAGCATACAGGCAAAACAAATTGGAAAAGATGTGCATTCAGACCCAATACATGATTGGAACCTTATAATTGACTCACCTTTGTCAGTAACTAATTTCCTTCCGCTTTCTGCTGAATATGCTGTTATTGAAAAGAAACAGAATGGACAGAGTCAGGCCTCGTCCAAAGGTACTTTGATTGCAGGTGAGACCGTCAAGGTTTACAATGCTGATTTACGAGATCCAATATACTTGTCAGTTCTTCCTCAAGGGGGATGGGAGCCAATACATGTATTATTCTACACTTCCTTTTATGATTTGATACTCTTTAGAATCATCATTTACTCTTTCTTTTAATCCTTGTAATCGCTAAATTTATGTTATTAATTTCAGGAGCCTGTCCCTATATCACATCCCAGTAGAATGCCATCGAAAATGATATGTTTGAGAAATTCTTTTTCTGGAAGGTATGAATGCAAAACACTCATGCTAGATAACCTTTTTGCTTTATTCTTCTAGATTTAGTTCTCTTCATGAGTTCCACTGTCTGCAGGATTGTCCAAATCATTCTTGAGCAGAACTATGACAAGGAGTGTTTAATATCACGGGCTGTTAGAATCCATGTTCCCTATTGGATTGCAAGTGCAAGATGCCCTCCACTTAAATATAATCTTCTGAACTTGTCAGGCAGAAACGAGAAAAAGCATTTCTCTGTCCCTTTCCGTTCTACCATGAAAGCTGAGAAAATATTCCTTCAAATTACCCAGGAGGAGATGGTTGAGGGATACACAATAGCTTCTGCGTTGACCTTCAAATTTTTAGGGATCTCAGCATCATTAGCTGAACCTGGAAAGGAACTCTTCGGACCTGTTAGAGATCTTTCTGCCCTTGGTGACATGGTAATTTCCCTTCCTATTGATAGTTTCTTGATGTTATATGGCTAGCTGAAAAAAAAAGAGCTCTTTATTTTGTTCATTTTTAGGATGGTTCAGTTGATCTTTATGCTTATGATGCTGATGGAAACTGCATGCGGATCTTCATTTCCTCAAAACCCTCGCCATATCAGGCTATTCCTACAAAGGTAGTGAATTAACTTCTGGCATTGATATTTATTCTAAATTGGCTTTATCAGATCAAGACCTCCACGTTTTTTTCAGGTTATAACCATTCGTCCGTTCATGACGTTCAGCAATAGACTTGGCCAAGATGTCTTCATTAGATTCAATGTTGAAGATCAGCCAAAGACTCTTCATGCATCTGATTCAAGAGTATCTTTCATATATCACGAAGCTGGACCGGACAAACTCCAGGTGCTTATTAATTTTGTTAACAAGTTGCTTGATTATGCAATTCTGTTAACCATTCTTCCGTTCCTCTTTTCTTTAAAATGTCCGTAACCTCACTAAACATCCAACTTTTGGACAATGCCTAGAGTTTCTATCCTAAGTTGTGTAGATAGTTTCCCTTGTATGTACTCTTGTTTATTTATCATCAGACAATTTATGAAAATAATTCTTCCACGTTGGTTATTATAACCTTTGATCTCCCCTCTTTATACATCTAATATTATTCAAGTCTCTACTTTCTTTCTCTCATATTAGCTCTTTTTCTCTCTCCTGAAACTCTTATAAGCCTTGTATTTAATCTCACTAACCACTCTTCTTCCTTCCTTTTCTAATTTATATTTGTCATGTCTATTATGTAATTTCATTATTGAAGTTTGGACATCACGAGTCTGCATAGGTCGTGTCATATTCTATGAACTGCTAGGGGTTAGTAAAATCCATGCATTTGAACCATTTAAGGGATCTTGCACTGAACAAGAAATCAGAGGCATCTGTTTCTCAATGGTTTGCCTTACTAAAGCTTTAGTCATTTATTTCATTTGACAAAGATTTTGGATAGCAAAGTTAGTGGATGTCTTAATGTAAATATTGTAGCATAAGTGTTCAATTCAATAGAGCACATAATGCTGTGAGGTTTTGGACAAGTTCCGGGATGTTAGATGCTAGAAGACAATCAATATGGTCTTCAGTGCCTATACTGCATAGGCCCATAAAGCACTTAAGCAGCTAGCACTGATGTTGTTTTGTTGCTGCAGTTGACCAACTGAAGAATCTTATTAGTTCACTAGAATGCCTTATTTTCCAATAGATATATGCTTAAGTTGTATACTATGGGATTGGCATCAATAGTTCAAGAATTAAACATCAATAATTTTTTAAACCAACAATCCATTCGATCACAAAGTTCTCAAATCACAGAGAATATACTATCGTCAGCGGAAGCTCTGGAGGTGAAGATGATCTGAAACTTTAGTTCTGAATTTCATTTCAACACCAAGAATTCAAATTTGCAAGTTTCATCCTAAGTACTTATCCTGAGTATTTTACACTCTAATGTATAAGATGTCAGATCAGAAGTGTCTCCTAATTTTTTATTCTATTACCATTTTTAATTGTTAGATTTTATATAATAATTTTTTTTATAATCAAGATACTTGTTATCACCAAGTAGTTTATTTCATTATATTAGGTGCGTCTTGAAGACACGGATTGGTGTTTTCCTGTCGAAATTATGAAGGAGGATACCATTACTATAGTATTGAAGAAGCATCTTGGTGGTCGGAAATTTTTAAGGGCTGAAATTCGTGGTTATGATGAGGGATCACGTTTCTCAGTGTTATTGCGTCTGGAACCGGCACATGGTCCTATCAGGTGTTTATTTCCAGATGATTACTCATTCACAAATTTGAAAATTATGCTGTAGCTGTAAGTTTTGCACTAGATAGTTCATTATAAGCCTTTTGTTTAACAGAATGGAGAATAGGACAAGAAGTACAATAATCAAAATTCGGCAGTCCGGATTAGATGATGATGCTTGGACCATATTGAACCCGCTTTCTGCCACAAAGTTCTCATGGGATGATCCATATGGACAGAAACTTCTAGATGTTGGTATCAGTGGTGAAAGGCAAAGTTACATTCCAAACATCAGTTTGGAAAAGTTAATGGATTCTATTGCAGAGTTAAAGGCACATGGTATGAAGGTCAGATGCATCGAGTTCGGAGATACCAAGATTTTACGGTTCATAGATGACGAAAAAACATTGTTATTAAGTACAGATGAAAAGGCTGGACCTGCGAAGACTGACAGTTCAAGTTCTTCATCTCTGGGGAATGAGATTGAATCTAGCAGTGCACCTTTAGAGTTTATAATTGAATTGGGAATTGTTGGAATTTCTTTGATAGATAACAGACCAAGAGAATTATTATATCTATACTTGGAGAAAGTCTTTGTTTCATATTCAACTGGATATGATGCGGGTACAACAAGCAGGTATTAATAAATCTCATTCATCATACATTGAATGCCAAGCATTACTACCAATGTCGTTCAGTAATATTTTCATGATTCAGGTTACTTTATTGTCGCTGGAAGAAACTTCTATTACTAGTGAATGTTCCTATCTAATTTTTTTTGCTTTACCTTGTTGGTCCTTGTTAATTACATCTATATTGAGTAATACAACTCATTAAGTGAAGTATTCTTCTCATTTAAAGTGTTCTTTTCTTTTCTAGTTGCTGGGTGTTTTTTTTTTTTTTTTTTTTTCCATCAGCCAATTTTTGGGAGGTTACTTTTTTCCCCTTCTTGCTGAAAAATATATGTTAACTAGCTTGCTGATAGCACGAACTAGGAAATGTTCAGGAGATAGGGAACTTGCTTCATGAACCCAAGAAAAGACCTATAGCATTTGGAATTTATATCCTTTTCATGTTCAACTGGTTTGATGCAATTATGCTTCTTGGAGGTCGGAGAGCAGCTTCTTATTTCTCGAACTAAAGACCTACAGAATAGGGATTTAAACAAAATTTCTTCCCAACAACTTTTCCTCATTGGGATGAAGAAACGAGTCCAATTTAATTGTGCTTATGGGATCTCATGGGCGCAGTTTCTCACGTGTTTGAAGTTAATACGTAAGTATAAAATAACTGGATAACATCATGCTGAGGCAGTTTTATGAACTTGGACCTCAACCCCCAAAGCATGAACTAGGTAAAAGATTAACCCTATGGAGCGTGGGAGCAGTAAATGCAGCTGGACAAGCCTCGGTTGTGGGTTTGTGCATGTGTTCATGTATGTGTATATGTAAATCAGGGCTTCTGTGTTTCAAAAAAATCAAATTTAAACAATTTATTTCCACCAACATTGATATAGTTACCCCATGGGGGATCCAAATTGCTTATCTTGATCTGTGTGCCATGGTTGCTGTTTCAGGAATTCACTTTCCAGATATGATATAATAGGATCCTACATCTTTGTGTTAGTTTTGTCTCTTACCAAACTGATATACAGTCTTCCACGATATACATTCTGCTGCCCGTAGAAGAATATTAATCATATCAGAAAGTCCCCTCCATATGGTGGGCTTAAATTTCATCTACCCACATATTAATTCAGCTGGCTCAGCCCTCCAAATTGGAGGGCATCAAGACACTTCTTAATGGGAATCTCTATGGTAGCGTTTGTACTCCCTCTAGGGTGCAACATGTAGGCTTCAACCTTTAGCTGTAGAATAGAAAATACGAGGTGTTCTGTTCCTTGTGAGTTCAGAGGATATGTAAAAGGTGCAACTTGTGCATTCTTGCCTACTATAGAAGCTTAATTGATCTATGTCGAATCCAACTTAACTGCTGCGCTATATAGATCTTGAAGAGAAATCTAGTTTGTCTGCACTAAGATTCTAGATTCTAGCACTTACATAATAAAACTGTAAGATAGTTCGGAAATTATCTGATCAATAAGACAGTTCTAAAAGAGTAGGAGCTAAAAACAGTCGGCTAAATGGATAAAAGAACTAGAAAAAAGCAAGTGGAATTGAAGAGCCATACAGGCATATTTTCCGCACTGCATATGCCTCTACAGTGGAATTTCCTTTTCCGCTCTTCTACTCTATCAAATAAAAAATAAATAGCATCCATCCAATCAACATCGTCGAGTGATCATTTTCTTCCTTTTTGTGTTATGGTACTCGAAAATTTAGTGTGATAGTGTTGTTTGTCTTTTATGTGGTTTAGCATTCCCTGAAGTTTCTTTTTAAAATAATTAAATAAGGAAAATGATACTTTTCTCCATGTTCATATATTTCTTTCGTAAAATAATATTTGTCATTAGAATTACGTTATTTTAATTTATTCTTACTATAAAATTGCCAGCAGTTCTACTTTGTTTTATTAAATATCATATTTGTGTATGGCTTCTGTCAGATTTAAGCTTATAGTTGGTCAGATCCAACTTGATAACCAGCTGCCATTGACGGTGATGCCTGTTCTGTTAGCTCCTGAGGATAAGCCAGACGTTAATCATCCTGTTTTCAAAGCCACTATCACAATGTGCAATAATAGTACAGATGATACGCTGGTGTACCCCTACATTTATGTTCGGGTAAGCCTTCAAGTCAAGGCTTTAGAATAGGACATTTTTATATGTTAATATCATCTCCCACTTGTATTTTGCACGTATAGGTAACTGATAAATGTTGGAGGATCAATGTTCATGAGCCCATAATATGGGCTTTGGTGGACTTATACAGTAATCTCCGGTTAGATAGTATCCCAAGCAGCTCAGGTGTCACTCAAGTGGATCCAGAGATTCGAATAGAGTAAGGATTTGGTTTCAGTTTCTATCTTCTAAGCAAGTAAATTTGATCTCTTTACTTTTCTGAAAGATTAAGCTTATAGGTGTGTTCTAACACTATCAAACAACTCATCACTTAACAGTAACTGCGGATGTTCCTCAGATCACATCAAAGGACTTCCAGTGCTAGAAAATGCAGGAAATAAAATTTTAAATTGCTGGAACTAACAGTGAAACTAGAACCTAATGAAAAACTTTTATAGTTTATACCATGTTATGATACCATTTCAGCTACAATCCTAAGATAACTCTCTCAATATTTTGAAGAATGAGAAATGAAATTGTTGGAAGGATGTTTCTCTTAAGGAATAAGCAAAATAATATATGACAAGTCACATTCTCAGTTCCAGAACGGTTGTCAAATTTATCTGTTTAGAATCTTTAGATCAAATGGGAATGTTGGGAACTCATGCTGATTTATTTATGTGACTTGCATATAGCAAATCCTCGTGTGTATCATGCTTTCTGTGAATGATTTATCTTAGGTTTTTGAGCTTGTGTGTTGGTTTTTTGGAACAGCTGGTAGCCAGATGTGAAACTTGAATATTTGTTTTGAAACATCATGATATTTGTTCTATAGATGTTTTGAGACATTTAATTTATGTATGTATGTGTGTGTGTAAAAAGAATAAAAGGATTTTAAAATTTCTCCTTTATTCATGTCAAAGGGCAGGGTGGTGACCTCAATTTTAAGAAAGATGTATTATGATAGTAGATATTCTCCCTACACCAGCTTGATTCTTATTCAGAAGTAATACTGTTAATATATTTCAGCGGTGCTACACATTCCTTGTGATAATTTTCTCATTGTAATGTGGTTGGCCATGGAGGCTGACTTCTGCGCAAGCTATATGGAGAGGTCGAAAAAGCTTTACAACCCACTATCGTCCTCACATCAATTACCAATTTGTTGCTGGTTTGCTGGCCAAGAAACTGTGAACTAACAGAGAATTTTCCATAAAACCTGGCAACCCTGTTGATGTGTAGGAAAATCAAACTAACAATCTTAAGTTATCTCTGTTGTTCTAATGTACATAATAAGATCAAGTGAGTACCTCATAGGTACATATACTGCATCAGTATAAGATGTAAAGTTTAGAACAATAAATGAGATTGTCATTCTCATATATTTTCTTGTTTTAGCTTGATTGATGTTTCAGAGGTACGTTTGAAGCTATCACTAGAAACTGCACCAACACAAAGACCATATGGCGCCCTTGGCATCTGGAGCCCAGTACTATCTGCAGTTGGAAATGCATTTAAGATTCAGGTAAGTGCCTGTTTAGGGGGGTGAAACTGTACCAAACAGATATCCTAAAATTAATTCACATGGATCTTCAGTATTCCTTTGTTTAGTTCTGATACTTTCTTTATCAATTTGTTTGCCTTAGCTCCATCTTAGGAAAGTAATGCACAGAAGCAGGTTCATGCGGAGAAGCTCAATTCTTCCTGCAATTATTAATCGAATTAAGAGAGATCTTATCCACAATCCTTTCCATCTCATATTCTCGGTGGATGTTCTCAGCATGACAAGGTCAACTTTGGCCTCACTTAGCAAAGGTTTTGCAGAGCTTTCAACTGATGGGCAGTTTCTACAACTACGCACAAAACAAGTACAATTCTCCTCTTTCTGCCACTCCCTCTTCTCCCCTTCCTTTCCAATTGCTTACTCTGTACTGTACTATTCCAGGTGTGGTCAAGGAGAATTACTGGTGTAGGTGATGGGCTTCTTCAAGGGACAGAAGCTCTAGCACAAGGTGTGGCTTTCGGAGTTTCTGGAGTTCTCAAAAAACCTGTTGAAAGTGCGAGAGAGTATGGTGTTCTAGGACTTGCTCATGGACTGGGCCGGGCTTTTCTCGGATTTGTTGTTCAGCCATTAAGTGGAGCACTAGACTTCGTCTCATTGACTGTAGATGGCATTGGTGCCAGCTGTTCCAGATGCATAGAAATCCTAAGCAATAAGACCCTAGCTCAGAGGATCAGAAATCCTCGTGCTTTTCATGCAAATGGTGTGCTTAAGGAGTACTGTGAGGAGGAGGCAGTCGGTCAGGTAGCTCTTTTTCATCCTCTTGTGTTTAATGTGAACCTCTTTACTGTCAAAAGAGTCGTATCGCTGCATTATTTGTTATAGTGATAGAATACAAATGAAACTTAAGGGAATTACTAAAGTTTCAGTAGCCACTAAAAATATTCAGAGTTTACCATTATCTTTCTAGTGACCAGCTCAATTCCAGTTGCCGGTAGTTAGGTTGTTATTTCTCCTTAAAATCTGATCATATGCTCTCTATGTTGCACCGTCAAAAAAAAATTGCTTTCTTCTTTTTATCTTATAACTGATAGGCACATAAGTAGCACATACTCTACAATGTGGTCTCATTCCCTTATTTCAGTTTTTACTCATTTTTTTAAATTCAATTATTTCTTGGAGTTATTAGAGGGGCACACTAGCTATTTCATTCAGTGAAAAGATCAATTGATTCTCATTTATTATATTATCTATAGGTTAAAAAAATCTTGGTCGTGTGAGCAGAGGAAAGAAAATCAGTACATACCTGCAGTATTTATAACAAGAAGATAAGATCCATCCCAAAATTTATGGATACTTTTCTTTCATTCATTTTTAATTACTTTTCTGAATCTACTACCATATCCTTCTTAATTGACTCTATCCAAGTTCTATTACCTATCTCTTGTCTTCATTAGTCATAATCCTATCGCTTCTCCAAAGTGGTGTGCCTTAGTGAATGGGCATCATTGAACATAGCCAAATTATCCTATTCTGTCTCCATTTAGCCTTAATAGTAAACATCTCCTACTTGTTGTGGATGTTTCTAATTACTTATGCTATTTCTTGGTGTATTTCCACTTATCCATTATCGCTATATTCTCTGTTTTACACTTATTTTTCCTTTTCAATGGATTTAGGTGCAAGCCCTATTTGGCTAGGATGCTTATTCTTCTCTTCTTGCACTGGGCACTGATGTGTCCAATCTACATATATTTGCAAGTCCTCACTCTTCCTGTGGACATCTTTGTTTATCAATCCAACATTTTGATCCATAAGTCACTATTAGAGTATGAGTCTTACTAAAATCGTGTACATCACTAGATGTTCTTCAATCACAAGGGATTCCAGAAGCACTTCGTCATTCTAATCATCTAGCTTTGATTGGATGTTCATATGTAGAGACAATGATGACTTGATTATAACTACCTTTTTGATACAATGAGACATGTTTTTCTGTATGATGGTAGTGTCATCAAAACATTCAAAATATCTTCTTTCACTATCTTGACCTTAAAAATGCAGGACTTCCATCCTTTTGAGTTTCATCATTGATTTTTAGTCTCCTGTTTGCTATCTCTGCTCTTCCATTTTGATTCATATGTCTAATGCTATCAAGCTAGATATACGATCATGCTCTCTTAGCACACTCCTGTAATATTTTCTTGGCAATGTATTTTTCCTCCTTCAATACTGCTGTTGACCTAGTTCTTAGCTTTTCTGTAATCTACTGACAGTAGGATTTCTACATGAAATTGATGTTTTGACTATACTAATATCTATCAGCTCAGTAAATTTCAAGTGTACATTCGCCTTATCTCTTACTAAGGATTTTTTTGGAACTTTGCCTTAGAAATAAAATCACTTGGATCAGAATTTTTCTATATTAGGATTTTTGTGAGTTTGTGGTGTATGTGAAGATTTTGCATAAATTTGGGGTAAATAGAAAAGAGCTTTTGTTGTTTGATGGTAAGAAGAAAAAAAAGAAGGCTTAGTTGCGGATAGACCCCCTGCACTATAGACCAGGTTCGGATAGACCCCTTGTAGTTCTATTGGTACGGAGTATTTTTTTTTAACTCTTTTAAGAGGAAAAAAATACATTCAAGGGGTCTGTACGCAGTAATAGAACTATCGGGGGTCTGTCAACAAATTGGGCAATAGTACATGATGTGTATCCGTGATTAACCCAAATAAGAAAGAATGAACTGGACATAATCATTGTTTCCGGAGTTATGAACGGTGTGGTGTCGTGGACTTCTGAATTGCTTCATAAGGGGCACAAACACAGTATCCGTGATTAACCCAAATAAGAAAGAATGAACTGGACATAATCATTGTTTCCGGAGTTATGAACGGTGTGGTGTCGTGGACTTCTGAATTGCTTCATAAGGGGCACAAACACA